GTATTTTTACCTTCTTTATATGGTTTATAGAATTCACCAGTAAAGTCATCAATACCTGGGGTTTTCTTTGTGGGGACACTTTTCTGTAACAATGTGCATTTTTTTGCTAGATACCCCACGCTTCAGATTTTCTGTTTCTTGGGTCAGTTTTGAAAAATTATGTTTTTCAGGGAATTTGCTCATTCCATCTAAGTTGTCAAATGTGTTGATAAAATGTTGCTTTCATATTATTCCCATTATAATATTGATGTATATAGTCTCTGTCATGGTATTCTATACCTGGTATTGGTAATTTGCATTTAATCTATTTCTTGCTAGGAATTTATTAATTTTATTAAACTTTTCAAATAACCATGAATTATTTAGAAGTTTATTGTTTAATTTCCAATATTGAGATTTTTCTAGATACCTTATTGTCATTCTAACTGAATTCCATCATGGCCAGAAGCATACTCTAAAAGACTTTAAATATTTTATAATTTGTTGAGATGTTTTTTCACCCAGAATCTGGTATATCTCAGTGAACTTTCCACTTGAATTTGCAAAGAACATTTTGCATTTGCTGGGAATAGTGTTCTATAAGTATAAATTAGGTAAAAGTGTCTTATGTTGTCATTCAGACTTCTAGTTTTTCAATTAATGAAACAAGCATGTTTAAAGATTCAACTAAGATTATGCCTTTGTTTACTGCTCCTTTAAATTCTGTCAGATTACTTCATGTATTTTGAAACTCTATACACATTTACATTTGTTATGTCTTCCTAATGCACTGACCCTTTAATCATGATGAAATAGTTCTCTTTATTTTCAACAAATCTCCATATCTTAAAGCCTATATAGCTACTCCAAATGTCTCATGAATAATATTTCTATGTGTAGTATGTTAAATAGTGTCTCCCAAAATTGCATGTCCTCCTGAAACCTCAGAATATGACCGTGTTTGGAAATAGAGTCTTTGCAGACTGAAATTAAGGTAAGGAGAGAAATGAGATCATATTGGATTAGGGGGGACTGTAAATCCAATGAGACTGGTTTATGAAACACTGAAAGGATTCACAGATACACAGAGGAAAAGGCAAATGAAGACAAAGGCTGATGAGAGTGATGCTGCCACAAGCCAGCAATCTCCAGGATCCACCAGAAGATGGAAGAAACATAGTAGGATTCACTAAGGGAATGTAGCTCTGCCAACACCTTGATTGTTACTTCTGGGCTCCAGAACTGAGAATGATCTATTGTTTTAAGCTTGCTAGTTTATGGTAATTTATTGTTGCAGCACTAGAAAACTAATGCACCATCATCATACATTTTTCCTTCTCTTTACCAACAACATATTTGTGTCTGTTTTTAAAGTGAGTTCTTTATAAACAGCATGCAGTAGAGTCTTTTCTTTTTTATCCATTCTGACATTCTCTGGCTTTTAATTTACATTTAATTATAAAATTGTTGGATTTAAGTCAGCCATTTTGTTATTTGTTTTCTATTTAATTTGTCTGTTTCTCTCTGTTCCTTCTTTCTTTGGGCTTACTTCAATTTTTCTTTTTTTCTTATCTTTTTTTTTTGTTAGTATCTCAACTTTATTTCCCTATTAGCTTTTTAGGTGTCCTACTTTTCATTATATTTAGTGGTTCCTCAAGGGGTGCATTGAACAAATGGTTCTTACTAGCCACATGTGGTGACTTTAATTTAAAATTTAAGTTAACTAAAATTATGTGAAATTAAAATTTAATTCTCCAGTCACACTATCCATATTTCAAGTACTCAATAAGTATGCATGACTAGTGGCTACCTTAAAGGACAATGCAGATATAAAGCATGTCCATCACTGCAGAAAATTCTATGGGTAACTTATCACAATCTACTTATAATTAATATTATACTACTTTAAATAAAATATTAGATTTCTGTGAGAGTATAGTTTCTTTACCCACCCCATCCTTTGTAACATTTTCATACATTTTACATATGTTTCAGATTCATAATCATTCTATTTTCAGAACAACAATCATTGTTTGACATTAGAAATTGGTTACATACGAGGTCTGTCCAGAAGGTATCCAGCCATGCAATATGAAAAATAGAGACATTTATTGAAGAAGATATGACAAACATTGTACATAGGACAACAACACCTCAGTCCCCTTCAAAGTAGGCACATCAGGATCTCACACAGTTCTCCCAGTCACCATCAGCTGCCCTGTGGTATTTTCCTGTGTCTCATCAAGGACCTAAAATTTCTTCCCTTTATGGTGATTTTAGTTTTGGGAAAAGGTGAATGTCACAGGGCACCAAATCTGGGCTGTAGAGGAGCTGATTCACCTGGGTGATTTGGTGTTTTGCCAAAAAACTCTGCACATGATGTATGAGTGGGCATACTGTCCTGATGAAGTTGCTGATCACCAGTTGCCCATAGCTGTGGCCTTCTGAATCATCTGAATAGTTTCCACTGAAGAATATTCAAGCTTAACACAAAAATTGATGCAGATTTGTTGCTTTACTCCCTCAGTCATTTAGAATGTGACAGCCACACGGTTCACATACTGACTCAACAGGATGTCTACTGCCCCTCCTGACTGGTACAATGAAGTCATCGTTGTTCACGCATGTGCATTCCAGTCTACTGTCTCTGGCTGCCAGGTTACATTGATGTGGCACAAACCTTTCTGGTTATGTTAACAATGGCTGGACTTTTTCCAGACAGACCTCATATGTAACCCAATGATTTCTGAATTAAAAATCATTCTGGATTAAACAAAAACATTAAATTTAACTAACAGTGATATATAAATTTAAATATTTCATTCTAATTTATCCTATGCATACTCTACAAAATCTAATTTAATAATAATTGATTATATAAGTAGAAGTGTTTGAAAGAAATTGAAATGTGGGCAAAATGGGCAGAGCATTTTTTCCTAGGATTCTTTTAATAGGATACCAAGTTGGGGTTTTTTTTCAGTTTCGGGTACCAATAAACAACATTGTCTTCTATTTTTTCTAAGTAAACAAATGTGAGTGAATTTTCATTTAGATACATTTTATTTATCTACTTAATTTTCAATATCTGTCCTATATTTGTTTCTATTTTAAGGTAGCTATAATATATAAGTAAAATGTTATCCATCTCATGAGATAGTAATTGAAAAAGTTTAGCAAATAAGCTACAACAGTAAAGGAATTGGTATGTATTCTTCAGGTCTTCCTCTGAAAGGTCTTGTTTATATCACACACAAGCCCTCTCCCCCTCCTGATTTAAGTTGGATCTTCCATTATTCTCTAACCCTATTCTTTCCCTTAATGGACTAACATAATTTGCAGTACCTAATTAATTAATATATTGATCTGCATTTATACTGTCAAACATATTTCTATCTCACCAGTGTATAAACTCCACAAAGACCTCTGTCTTTTATCTCACCCAATTCCAACCAGAATACCACATTGTAGTTACATGATAAATATTAAATAAATTAATGTATAAATGGAGGATGGTGCATGACTGAATAGTGAAAATGACAGCAATGTTTAATAACTTTTTCTGTTTTCCCAAGTTAGATTTTCTATGGTCCTCTATGTTTCAGATTCAAACATCTAAAAGTACAGCATAATTTTGGCAAAAAATTTAGAGGGAATGTAATGTCCAAAACATTGTATGGTATATTCAGTTGTTATTAACACAGGCTTAAAATAAATGTGAATGATGGATCTTCACTATCTTTTTTGTTAAATCTTCACCTGAGGATGTTTATCAATTTTAGTGAGAAAAGAAGGGAAGGAGAGAGAAATATGGGTCGGTTGCCTCCAACAGGCGCCCCTACCTGGAATGGAACCCACAGCACACGCACGTGCCTTAACCGGGGATGAAACCTGCAACCTGCAACCTGCAACCTTTCTGTGTACGGGAGGATGGTCCAACAAACTGAGCCACCCGGCCAGGGCGGACCTCTAATTTCTCTATTCAAAAATGTAATCAAATGTAATGTCCGCACCAAGTGCCAACTGGTACAGGGTAAACGGTGTGACATGCTACTTTTCACCAAACAGCCCAATCTCCTGTATTTATGGTATTTCTATCAGATGTATTTAACTGTCAGTTATACTACTCCATGTCATTTTGCTCCAAATTAAGGAACACATGTTATAGCACAGTTTTTAAAAGCTATTGAAATTTTCATCGTTGCAAAAGCTCTATAAGACATGAAGTGGGAGATAATTGAGGAAGTGAGGGTATCTGGAGGGTTTGTGTCCATCCAAGGCGGGAAAAGAGGGCACCGGTTTGAATGTGCCTCTGCTCCTCTCTGCACTATAGGTTTTGAGAATTTAAAAATAGTCTACAGAATACAATTTCATTTTCTCGTTTTAGCAAATACAAATAGTGTATGACAATTACATGTACTCATTTTTAACACTTATGGTAAGTATTGAAAATGATGTAATGGACCTCCTGATTTAGAGATTTTTGTATTAAGTTAAGGATCTAAAGTGTGGACTGTGCATGTCCATAAGATGTGAGCTTGAAAAAGGAGCGACAGGGTGCACAGATCTCTGCAGATATTACATTGAGGAATGCAAGATCTTAAAGCTAATATCTCTATCCCTTCACCTGACTTTCCGTCCTTACTTACCAATATCCCAATATTGAAGACACAGTGGTATTTTGAGTGCTGTAATGTCAGCTCTGGGTGGAGACAGCACCACCACTGCCTCTGTCCACAGCTGCGCGCCGCGCTCGGGAGGCAGTATTTACGGTATCGAAGATTGGTGCGCTCAGCGTAGTTTATGGTCTTGGGGGCCTGCCCAGGAGGCGATACTTGCCGTAACTGTGGACCCAGAGGCGGTATTTCCAGTAACATGGACTAGCCAAGGCTGCCGTATTTACGGTAACCGGAGCCGACCATTGTGGCCGTATATATGGTAAAAAGAGCCGCTTGACCAGCGATATTTACGGTAATGGGGGCCGGTTCGCGGGTGCCAGTCCTCGCGGAGGGCTCTCCGCTTTATCAGGTGATCTCCAGTCCTGGCGGCCGCCACCTCTTGCGCCCAGGGAAAAATGCACAATGGCCCTCCAGGGCAGTGAGGAGCAGTGGCCCTGGGCCCACAACCCCCGCACCCCAGCCCTGAGTCCACGTGCAGCCCCCTCAGGCCCAGCAGCAGGGGGTCCTGCCTGAGCCTGGCGCCAGCCCACCTCGCGCCCTGCCGCGCCCACATGGGTCTGTGCTACAGTCTGAGGCCGTTGCTCTTCGGGGACCCGGAGGACGGCCCTCGCGCCACCTCAGAACCCGCCGCGGAAGGGGCGCGGCCGAGCCCGGACTCGGTCCCAGCTGCCGGGGGAGATGTTGCTCGGACTCCTCACTCGCGGGGCGCCGGCGGGAGTCCGGCCTGCGCCCGACCCAAAGCCAACCCGAAGAAGGAAAGGAGGCGACACGCAGACCAGCTGAGCGCCGAGGAGCGCGAGGCCGAGAGGGAGGCCAGGAAAGTCAGCAGGAACATCGACCGCATGCTTCGGGAGCATAAGCGCGACCTACAGCAGACGCACCGGCTCCTGCTCCTGGGTAGGTGCCGTCAGCGTCCCGATCGGCCAGAGTGCGCGAATTCGGGGCGGGGTGGGAGTGAGCACCGGCGCCGCTGTGCGGGACTCTGCCGGCACCCACGTCCCTGAGGGGGGGCCCCGCTGTCATCCCCGCACAGGGTGCGCTACTCTCGCAGACGGGATACAGGGCGGTTTGTCAGCCTTAAATCCTGCGCAGAATGATTCTTGCTCTGACAATATTTACTTCTGTGAATTGACCGAAAACACCCCGTGATTTTGCTCTTTTCTACACCTTGCGATTTTGGCCAGTCTCTAACTTATTACCAGTTAATGAGCTTCTCTGGGAATTTTCCCTTCTCAATTGATTTATTTCCACAATATGTAATCCACAGGGATGGCTAACTCGAGCATCTCATTTTCTGCAACAATAGTAGTCCTGCTGCACTTGAAGAACACAAATGAAAGGAGATTTATAAACCCTTTTAGCCTGACCACAAAGCCATTCTCCCAATCACAGACTAATAGCAGAGTTGTCGGTAGGTGTGGCCTGTTCCCTTTTCGAGAAATACCCTCAGCAGCTGAAGATATGGCACTTCTGTTTCATTAAGTACAACCCTAGTGCTTTGAGAATGTTTGCTCCTCTTTCAGGAGGAGAATAGCATGGCAGGCCCCCACAGCTATTTTCTGTACTAACTGCATGCAGAAAAATGGGCACAAAATCACCAGCGTTTTTAATTAATAGACTACATGATTTGCTAGTATATTCTTAGACGTTTAGCTGTAGCAAGTATATACAGTCCTGCAAGGTAACTGGGGGGAAAAAAACTGTTTACATGCACTCTACTGTAGAATCAAAGGAAAAAAATCATTAATTCCTGCGGCTACTTGTTGCCTTTTAAATTTTAAGGCAAAAACTAAAAATAAAAAATGTAAGATGTGAGCTTTTGACTCAAATTTTGTTAGATACCTAAAAGAAATAATAATTATTCAGTTTTGCAATCTGCTGTGTATAGGGAAAGAACCTAGTTCATGATGTGAGTAACATCTCTGCTTTCAAATGAATGTGACTTTTATTTAGGATCTAGAAAACAGGTCCTCAGTTTGAAAAGGCTCACCCACTGCAAGAACAAATGATAAAAACAACACAAACCTAGTATTCTGGTGGGATCTCTGGAGGCTAAGATAAAATGAATGGGGACGGGGAGAACAAACAAAAATAAGCAAGTTGCCTGAAAAGGGCAGCAAACCCAATCAGAAGCAGAATTCTCATCCACAGTGCTAATTTCTAGAATATGACAGCAACATTTTCAGAGATCTGAAACAGAATTATAACCCTAGAATTTCATACCTCATTACACCACTGTTTATGTGTGAGGGTAAAATAGATTTTCAGATATCCACACACACGTTTTTTTTTTTTTCTGAAAAGAAATTAATTAGAAATTATTCCAGCCAAATGCATCAGATTAAAATAACTCAAAAAGGAGAGCATTTGTGGTCTCAAGAAATAAGAGAATAAAATAAATAAGGTCTAGAGTTGTGGCAGTGCAATGTTTTAATGTGATTGTGTAGTTGAGCAGAAAAGGAAATGTGAAGCTACGTGTGTATGTGTGCGTGTGCATTCACACAAACTTAAAATTCTTTAAAAGAGAACTGGGAAATTAGATCTAAAGAATGGACTGGTGAATGGACTGGTGTTACAAGAGGAATGGACCTCTTGTAACACATGTTGAAAGACTCCTCTTTAAAGATATCTTATAGCATAATATAGCTGAAATGACAGTAAATCAAACTGTCACAGGCGGGCACAGGTAACCAGGTTCTTGGTGATCCGGACAAAAAATTGAACTGAACACACAGAGTTTATAGCAGACAGCGAGAAAAAGCAGATTTATTAAGCCACACAGAACATGGGAGCAGGCCAACTCTGAGTAGAGCAAAGCTGAGCAGAGCCTAACAGCCCTAACCTCAGGGGCTAGAGGGCTTTTTTTTCTTTTAGGGTGGGTCTCTCCTGGCTAGTTTTGGTGGGCTTTTATTGTGCATGTACAAGTAGTTATTTTATTTTAAAGTTACTGCACCTGTGGTCTCCCATGATTTCCTTGATTGACTACTGGGAAGGGGGGTCCCACAATGCTAATTTACCATAATGCTATTATAATGAAGCAGGGGTCAGGTAGCATCTTTTGCACAGGTGCATTCCTGATTCACTAGCATTCAGTGCTTTTCTAGAAATCAGGAACTACTAGTCTTAGTACAAGGTCTCCACCCTTTATTGTTGTTCTTTATCTTAGCCTTGGGGCACCTCTGCAGTTTCCTCCTTCCTATCTCCTGCCTCAGCATGGCTCACACTTTGGGGGGAAAGTGTGACATCAACAATAAAACACATACTGTTATATCAGGCTGACATTGTTTATTAGTTTTTGTGTATATTTAAATTAAACACAGAAAGGTTCCTAGTTTTGTTAGGATTTAGAATGGATTTAGCTGGAAATCTCTGAATCAGAAGCCTGATTTACAGACTGTTAAGATCTTCAAATACTTCCTTCTGCTGCCATTATGTTTAATAGCCATTTCTCTTGCTCACTGACCCCATTTACTTATTTATTCTAGCAATGTGCATTGGGGGACAGAGAACTCATAAGTTCAGGAAGGACAGACTTGCTTCAGGGCCCTTCCTTACTCTGTGCCCATTAATCTAAGGATAGAACCATCTTCCAAGACAGTATCTCCTCCAGGAGACCTGCTCAGCATCCTCCAGTGGGAATAAATGTTTACTTCCCTTGTGTCCATATTGAATTCTCTTTGCCCTTCTCATATATCACTTTGTTCCACTGTGCATGGCTTCATGAGTGCTTTTATGAGCTCTGACTTCTCCATAGGTTCATCCCAATGACCTGAGCTTTGTTTCCTCCACAGGACTAAGACCTGTGTACCCCACACTGTGCTAAGAAAACAAGAGTCTGGGAGCCAGCATGGCAATGAGGGTCTCATGGCAAGAGTAATGTGGTCCCATTTTAACTTTCAGATGGTGCATTCTTTCAGGTATCAGGTGGCTAGTAAAGACCAGGAGTGTCAGGAATAGGGTAGAGATAAGAAAAAAGTTCTGGTTAGATGGCAGCCAATTCAGAAGGGATCATGATGTTGGAACTAGAGCAGTGTAATGGGGCTGGAATGTTCTTGAAGTGACAAATAAATGCATGTGGAAGGTGGACCATGGGGAGGAATTCTCAGGTAACTGTCATATTCAGAGCATGAGTTGTATGTTTGTCAGCTTCAGCTACCGCAACAAAATGCTATACTTTGAGTGGCTTAAAAAGCAGACATTTATTTTCTCAAAATTTGGAGATTTTAAGTCCAAGATTGAGATCTAGTAGGATTGGTTTCCAATGAGGCCCCTCTTCCTGGACAAAATTCAGTCCAAAACTCATATAAGAGACTATATGCTCTCTGTAAAAGAGAGAGTGCATCCAAGTTTCATTCCATTGTTGCCTTGTGGGAACATAGGCCCAATGTTGCCAGGTCTTCTGAATTTCCAGAATAAGAAAGAAATGCCCATTTTCATTTGAAACCTACTTATTTTTAAGCATTGGCTCAAATTAATAAAATACAATCTATGTTACTGTTGCAATCCACAGGCTGCTTCTTATCTCTGATCTATCTTAAGCCACACAGACAGAAGCCCTGGGTGAATGCCAATTAAAAGCACAATTGGTAAGGCTGGGTGTGAGATCAAAATATTTATCCAAATACGTAATGCAAGCAAAGCTACATTCACCATTCTTCAAGTGAACTTTCTGCCACTGAGTTCATAGTATTCTAAATGCCATTGATTTTCCTTACACATCTTTTGTTGGCTCTGATGTAAATTCCTGTTCACCATATTCCAATTGGGAAAAGTCATCATGTGCCACCTAACTGTTCATTTCATATTAATATCCTTTTTCCAGATAATTATTCAAATTTAAAATGGCCAATTGTGGGTAGGATTTGTGGAGAGGGGGGCATTCTTTATTCAATGATTTTCTGTTGTTTATCTGTGTGTTTGGTACTTCTCTGCCAGGAATACATTTCGAAAAGGAAGAAATCTATTTGGGACAGTTAACTGCTTTTTTTTTTTAACTTGGCTGTTAGTGTACAGGGTGGGGTGAAAGAAGATTTAAAGTCATTTGTATGGAAAATAATACAAGAATAAATAATAATACAAGAATAAACTGTGTTTTGCATACTCACAACTGTAAACCTACTTTTGCTCTACCCTGTAAAACAGAATGCTGTCATGATCTTCATTTATGTCTTTAGTTTCTCTAAGAAGAAGTTCTTGGCACAATCACAAAAAAAAAAGGAAAACAGAAAAATCCTACAACAACAACAAAACTGTGAGGTTTTGAACACTTTTTTTTTCCAAATAAATGCCCCTCTTTTTTTTTACCTTAATGATAGTGCATTCAGTGACCGAGACAGCAGTTTTTGAGGTGTGTGGTAGACCTGGGCTGTGTGGATCTCTGGGACACATCCTCATCAATGTACTGCCTTTGGGCCACAGCCTGATGTATCACTGTGGCTGTTAAAGTCAATAGGAGACATGAAAATTACAGCTAAACTATAGAACAACCATCACTCAGAACTGTCAGAAATCAAGCTGAATGGAAGTTTGACAGCTACAGATATAAGAATCCACATCCATCCAGATTGGTTGAAGGGGTAGAGACACAGAGAAACAGAATTGGCCAGGTCCACAACCATGTGTGGTACGTAAAAATTAAGGAGGGATATCTTGGAAGTACGGAGTCCCAGGCCCACATCAGAATCCCCAGCCCAGGGTTCCAATGCCATAAAAATAAGTCCCCATAACTTCTGTCTGCAAAATCCAGTGGGGATTGAGTGGGTGGAAGAAACTCCTGGAGTCCTAAGCAGTTCCTCTTAAACCGCACACGGACTTACTCAGACTCACTCCCTCTAAACACTAGCACCGGGCTAGTAGCTTAAAAGACATGAGTAGCATACAGGGAGGAACCAAAGTGC